GTTACTATTATAGTTATTTACTACATATATTATGCACTTCCTAAAAAGGTAGCGTTCTTAAGGGCAGGAACCAGGTCTTGTTCATTTTGTGTTCATCTTGAAGCCTAATATTTCCTTCACTGTTAGAAATACCTAGTAAATAAAGCTGAATTACCAAAGAGTGACAGGCTTTCTACTGAATCCTGTTTTGTGTGTCCAAAGCTTATCATTGTTCAAGAACCTGCTGTATTCAAATTCTTTAAAATTAAAAATAGCTCTAGCTATTTAAAATATTTAACAAACTAAGATATTTATACTGTCTTGTAGTAAATACGATTCTGAATTCATCACCCCTTAAGAAATTCCTCATGTGGTCAGTTATTGACCGGCTGAACCAAATAATCCCCCCCCCAATTTATTATATTTTAATTAAAATGTAAGGGATGATGAATTCAGAATCACATTAATTACAAGACAGTATAGGTACCTTAGTTTTCTATCTCAAAGATATTCTTAATTTGGTAGAATTTGAATAGAGCAGGTCCTTGAATAATGTTTCATTCACTGTTGTTTTACTATAACATTGACGGGATGGTGTAGGAATTTAAATCTTGTTTATATCAATTAGCCTATGGTAAAATTGGTTTTGCAATATGACATTTGGCTTAAAGCCACAGAGTCTACTGACAATGTTAAGTGAGTACTCACTGTAACATATATTCCAGGATTATTCTCCAAATTTGTAAGTACTTTTTGGTATTTCATTAGAAGATTAGTATTTGAACTTTACAAAAGAATGTTTTGCTATACAGAAAGAAACACTGCTTTTCAATGAGTCAAGAGATTGTGTGCATCACTATCAAGGCGAAGGACGTGAATGCCTATTTATCCCCCTGAGCAGACTTCTCTGCTTAACAAGGTTAGTGCAGTCTGGTCCACTTGCAGGTATCCTGAAGAGATGTACAGCACCTAGTTCCATGTACAAATTAACACAAGGGAGGTCCTGTCGAACCCCAGGAATCTCTAATCAGCTGGTCTGCAGAAAAACAATGCAACGCATGCCCATGCATGGGGGAATTCCGAGAAATATCAAGGATTATTCTCCATGTTTTCTTGCTCTTAATTTCCCCCCTGTTGTTTAGCTTAAATTTAGTACATAATGTAAAATAGAATTAGATCCAGAGGTTATTAAGTTAAGAAAACTGTATAGTAAATATACCCTATTCATTTCCATGAACTTACTGGGTAAGAAGATAATGTAACTCTATATCACAGTAGGATTAGTTCCAATTCAGTATAAAGACAGATTACAAGTAAGCAATTGATAATTAATAAAATTAAATTCCTGAGTGTTTAGCAGGAACAATTAGTATTTTATTGCAAAATATTCTCATAAAAGAAACAACTGCTCCCACTTTTGATCCATATCTGGATCTAACAGTTCCTTTGTCCGGTGGTGATAAAGAGGTCAAATGAGCTCAGAGAAACACAGCAAATAAAAAGAGAGGAGTGATGTATGAAAAGAGTTGAAAAGGATTTCTACCATGTAGTTAAATAATACCTAGAGTCGAGCCCCTCATGACTCTGCAAATGCTAGAAGAGAGGATCCACAGCGAGGTTGGGTAGGGCTGATGTTACGTAAGAGAGCAGTAGCCAAGCTACGCAGCCTGACGCCAGGGCAGTGGAGAGCTCTGGGGTCCAACACCCTTCTCAGAGTCGGGCAGCGGCAGTCATTGCACCAGGCCATGCAGGGGAGTGTGACCGAGTGGCTGCAAAGGGGACCCTAGGAGAAAGGTTTAAAATCTGACTATGAATTCCACCCTTGCTACTGCCTCTAGATAGGATGGGAGGATAGCATAAGGGTCAAGGCAAAGAACTGGCTGATTTGGTGCATTGTGTTTGTGTTGGCACAGAGTGTCATGCGGGGCATGAGAGGGCATAGGTTGATTTTCATGGTTGCAGGTATGAATGCCACTGTTGTAAGATCACAGGTGTCTGTGGTGCTACGGTTCTGCTGTTAGAAGACCCATCCTTCTGATCCAGTTACTGTTTCTGAGAGTCATCAGAATGGCACACAATCTTGTTAGCATTCTTCTTCTTCCTTGCCTGGCTCTGGTTGCCTTGGAGAGCTGCATTGTGTATGTGTGAGTGTGTGCATGTGCACACATGGGCATACATGCAGGTGCAGTGTGGGAAGTAGGGAACATGGGTCAGTGCAGTTTATTACGTGGGAAGCAGTTCAGGGCCAGTAGTGTGAGGCCTCTAAGATGAGTTTGCTCAGTGTCCCGGAGGACAAGGGTGAACAATGGTGGTAATGTTCTGATGGTGCTGACGTCCACGTGCCAGTGAGTGGAGGGTAGGCTCAAGAAAGGGAGAATGAGAATGGGTCTGTGAGATCCAGGGATCAGAACAGTAAGGAGGCGTCAGGTTAGTGGGGATGAGGCCTGATCTGTTGGGAAATTTGGAAAGAAAGGTGGAATTAAGGAAATATGCAGGTTTATCTCTAAAGGGCCCTTGGAAAGAATGAGGAAAAAAAACTAACCCACAACATTAAAAACAATTGTAGTTTGGACATTTTTATGTCTTAGTGGATGCATATGATGACTAAGAAAGGCTGGAGGGGACCAAATATAATTACAGCAGAAATACGAGAACCAGTAAAAGCCAGTGTCTCCTGGGGTATCTTCAGTAGTTGCCTGTGTAAATTTGAGCACTAGCCCACTTGTGAAGTATCTGGGTAACTTCAAGGGAGGAGGGAAACAAAGGCGTTCATCACTCACTGTGGGCTGAGGCCAGAGCCAGATAATCAGCCCAGTTTGCCCCATAACAAGACCAAGATGAGGGGAATAAAAAGCAAGGCAAAACTGGATTTCTCTGAGGAGGTGGGGAGGAAGTGGTGACTCCTTGAGAAAACGATGCGCCAGTTAGCTGCAGAAGTCCACGTTCCCAGGAACTGTGTGAATGGCAGGTAGCCCTCCACAAACGTAGGTGCTGGCTGGGCAAAGGAAAGTACATGTGGGCGACACAGCATGCGCAGGCTCGGGATGTAGGAGTCAGTGCATGCTTAAGCTGGCATACCTGGCCAGTCCCTTCGCAGTCTTGAAATAATTCCCTCACTTAATGAGTCGCATTTTCCTGTTCCTATTACGAGATCAACATGCAGTGCTGCTTTATTTGTACCAGGCAAGCAAATCAGGGAGATAGACACCTTATCATTTAGGAAAGGAAAACTTGAAGCCATCAGCTGTTTGTGGATTATTTTTCCATGTGGGCCAGCCTGCTTTGGTAAAGATTTAAGGAGAAGATAACACAGACTCCAGGAACCAGATTTTCCATTCCTGTTTTTCACTAGAATTTTGTGTTGTTTCTTTCACGGTAAAAGAAACCTAGAACGAAGCCAGGACAATCTGGACAGTGACAGTATTAACCTCTAATGGAGCTGCACTGACTGTCCCCACCAACATTTGCGCTGCAGGATGTGGTTTCGTTCCGCTCCATCTTCCAGCAACTGTCCACTGCCTGCAGAGAACATGGCACATAATGACACATAATGACATAGACGTAATTTCACTGCCACGATTCCTGTCTCTCGAATTCACTGCAGATTTCTAATTGTAGAGAAATGTCTTACTGTGACACAACTAGAGTGGACAAAGGACTTTTAAACAGTCCTTTCAAATATTAGGTTAAAGTGCAAAAGAAAAGAAAATGGGAAGAAATTTCTATTTTATTCCTGAAAGAGGAAATCCACCCAGAAAAACCACCCTGGGGATGGGGGACACTGTACAAGTATGGTTTCAGGTTCAAAAAAGAGACTCTTCAAAATGTATTCTCTACCCTTCACTGCGCCCTATGGATGAAGGCATTTAATCCAATTCCAATAAATCCTAATTACTTAGAGACATATGTGTTTTCATTCAGTTGACATTTACTAAAGGGCAGTAATCTTTAATGATCCATGGGAAGCACTGTGGTGCTACCGATATTCCTGCCTGTAGAGAGCTCACAGTCTAGGAGCTGAAGAATCTATTACAGGCTTGGAAAGAATCCTTAACTTTTTTGCTCTTTAGAACATGAGGGTCATTTATTAGGCTAAACTCCCTGTAAGTCAGGGAAGAAAGGTGTGTATTGTTGAGGGGAAACCAAAGAAAACACCAGTTTACCTGGCTTGTCTAAATACTCTAATTTTTAAAAAAAATGACAGGAAGTGTTACATTCTACTCTTGATAAACAACTATAACAATGTTTTAAGACTGAAGTACAGCATATACAGAGAAAATAGAGCAAAGCTTAGTGTAGAATAAAATTGAACATCAGAGTTAGGTATAGATCTTGTACTAGTCCTGAGTTCGGAGTGAAAACGGAACGTTACTGCTGTGAGGTCAGCATCCATGAGGCTTCCGGCCGCTCAGGCCTCCTCCTAGGCCGCCCTCCCGCAAGCCTCCTCGGGGTCCATCGCTCTCCTCCTCTCCCTCTTCTTAACACAGCTGTCCCCTCGCTGATAGGTTTCCGCTGGTGGTTAGGCAGTCATAGGATTAAAGCAATTCATACTATGAATTAATAATGTCTGACAAAGGCTAATTGTGATTACAAGTCTAGGGCATTTGCCTAAGAGAAAACTGTTACTCTGAAAGATCGACTCTTTCTTGGTGGCACTGCTGTGGTTTTGAATGAGGACCTTTCGAGACTTCTCAAGTGACCCAGCAAAGGAGCCTGCCTCCTGCACCTCCCCTTGAGTTGAGAAGAGGCTCTTTTCTCCCCTCAACCCTGTGGCCAGTTGTCTTAATTTGAATACTTGAGATGCTAAATTGGCATTAGAGTTTTCTTAGAGCTTTAATGTTTTTGTAATATAACATCAGAAGTGATAGATACCTCATTATGGGCTAAGTGCTGGACACTTAATTCCAAGTCCTGTCTTATTAAGGGAAAAGAATGCAAGGTGGTTAGATCATCGGTATCACTGAGGTTGTTGGAGCCTTAACTCATGATTTCCTACCACTCTGTGCCCTCAGTCTTGGAACTTGGTGAGGGGTGGTGAGGTGCTGGAGGGAGTGCTTCCTCTCTCCCCGAGACTTTTACAGGCATGTAGAAACCACACCTTTGTTCTGTGCTCTGCATCTTTTGAATACAAGTGCGAATTAATTGTCCAAGGCTTCCTCCACCAGAACATTCGGACCTCTTGCTGCCCCTGCCCCCTTACTTCTCAGGGGTTTTCCAGGATTTCAAATGTGTGCTGTCCTTCCTTCATTTCAGAAATCGTCTCCCTGTCTTCACTGTGTAAGTCCTAAAGTGACAAGAAATCAGACATCAAGAAACTGATAAATTTGAGCATATCTCTGTGGAAAACAGACTTATTACAATTGATTCCAGACAAACTTCACTCATCTAAGGAGAGTTTACTGATTTAAAACCGAAAGCATTCTGGGCTAGCAGGTGCGTAGGCGTGCTTATGAAGGAGCAACTTGGGGGAGCCTTGTAGTGTTGGAACTTTTCTGTATCTTGACCGAGGTGGTGGATACACAAACTTACACATGATACAGTTGTATGGAATAAAATAGACACACACAAGTGAATACATATACAACTGGGGAAACCTGATTCATGTTGGGAAATTGTATCATTGTTGATATCCTGAATGTGATAGTGGGCTATAGTTTTGCAAGATGTTTCCATTGAGGGAAGCTGGCCCAGGGGATCTCTCTGTACTATTTCTTACAACTGCATGTGAATCTACACTTCTCTCAAAATAAAAAATAAAATCTAAATAAAAATGTGTTTTATGTTCTAGGGTCAGAGTATTTAGAAAGATAAAATCTACACATGCATATTAGCAAACATACATATTCACAGACAAGTAGTTACGGCTCAGCCCGCCATACACATTTTGAGTACTAATTGGAGTGAGTCAATTTTATGTTTAGATAATGGACTGAGTCTCAATCCGTGTCATAAAGCACAGCCATCCCCTTGAGATCTCACATAACCGGGACAATCATGACTATTATATTTTTTCTATGCTGGTGAATGTAAATATTTAATGAAGGAAAATAATCTGAAGGTTTATAATTCTCTATTTGTATTTATTTTTATATTGAAGTGTTTTAAAAAAATCTCTTAAGGAAAATATTTTAAAAGGCAATCCAAATCCATATGTAAGGACTTGGAGGAAACATGTTGCATGTTTGACATGCTCTTGTGCCATTTTCCATGATACACCCTCTCTTAGTCCATTTGGGTTGCTATGAAAAAAAACATGATAGACTGAATTGGCTTAAATAACAAGGATTTATTTCTTAATGATCTAGAAGCTGGGAAGTCAAAGATTAAACTGTTGAAAGATTTGGTGTCTGGTGAGAGCCGGCTTCCTGGTTCACAGAATGCTGTCTTCTTGTTGTGTCCTCATATGGCAGAAGGGGCTAAGGGAGCTCTGTGGGATCTTTTTAAAAAGGGTTCCTCCTTCATGACCTAATCACCTACCAAAGTCCCCACATCCTAATACAATCACATTAAAGAACAGGATTTCAAAATACGAATTTTGGGTGGACACAAACATTGATTCTATTTGTGAGCACAGTACAATAATAAAAACGTCTTATTGTGTTAGAGCACAGGGCTTCCATTTTTAGCTACAGATAAAAACATTTATAGATCATCCAACAGTTTGTTTATAATCATAATGTAAATCTCTCATTGACTCAAAATGAGTAAAATGTTTGATTAATAGAGTGAACTTGAATGAAACAGCAATTACCAATTTCAAAGTATTCACAGAAAGTAAAATATAATTAAACTCAATCACTTTCAGTCATTATGAAGGTGAAGTTAATATAAAGTTGGTAATGTGATAAAGAATATTGATTTAAATGGGTTAAATTTGTTATTTTTAAAAATTTAGCTGGGTTTTAAAACTATTAATGCATTTCAATAATTACTGCAATGAGAAAGGGAAGTTATATTCTGCACATTAAAAAAATGTAACGATCACAGATTCCCCATATCACTTATCATTATTTCCCTTTACAAATAAAATGTATTTAAATTTTCTGCAGTTTCTGAGGTCTTAACACTTTTAAATTTCTTCTTTAGATGAAGACATTTCTACAAATGTAATGCCAGGTCATAATTTTTATGTTTCAGGGTTTTTTTAGAAATTAGTAATTGATTTAGTTCATTATTTTTTAAAACTTTTTAGAAGGGAAAGGAGGGAGGAAACGAGGGAGAGACATATGGATCACTTGCCCCTAGCACACCCCCAACCGTGGACCTGGCCTGCAACCCAGACATGTGCCCTGACCAGGAACCGAACCAATGACCTTTTGGTTCACAGGCCAGTGCTCAGTCCACTGAGCCACACCAGCCGGGGCTAATATTTCAGTTTTGAAAAAATTTTAACCATTCCTACATTGAAATTTACCTCTTTCATGTTAAACTGATAAAGAGTCTACTACATGGTAGATGAGTTTTCTCATAAAATCTCTTCCGTAATCAGGCATTTTAGATCATGCATGATAACTTGGCCCACTGGCTGAACAGCTGCGGTAATGCCAGAGGGAGGAGAATGGGAAACATCACTGACAATGAAGGCAGGCTGCACAGCTGGTACAGAATTTATTTTTCTTCAAACCTGTCATTTTCTCCCTACTGCATGTGAAAAACTTGGTTAGAATTAGGAATTTTCTTAAGTCTTGGGGACAACTTTGTGCAACCCACCAAATGTCTACATGGAAGAAGTGTGCAGCACCTGCAAACGTAATCATCAATTAAAACCAGAGGCACTGGTCACTGTAGGGTCTCGTAACATATTATCAGCTTCACTGACTCATAAACATTCTCAGGAAAGAGATGCTATATGGCATTCACACTAAACAACAAAAAGTTTTCCAATATTGTTAGACATATATGCATTTGATTCACTGGAGTTCCTATTCTATAGTGAACTTCAGTTAAAAAAGAAAATCCACTCCATTGGTAGTGAGAAATTCTTTTTGGAAAATTCATATTGCTGTATCAATCTTCATATTTTTTAGCTTATTTAGTATTTGTTATTTAATATCTTAGGAAAATTATTTTACCCTTGGAGTCTTCATTTTCCATAATGAAAATGCAATTGGTGCTGGCTCTCATTCAGTTGACATTTTAAAAACCTCAATATTCCACTTAACACATATATACACTTCTTTCAATATGTCAATTCTAATGGTTCTTCAAAACCATAAACTACTGAGGCAACTAATCTGCTGGTTCTTTCCTTTTTGTTCTAGCCTATTGAACCATCCTTCCTTTAATGAGCTGTAGCCTTAGGGCATCTCAGGGGTTGGGGGTGGGGAGGGGAAGCACCTGACTTCTGCCTCGAACACCAGTTGGCAGAAACCATTCAAGCAAAAGGTTGAGGCATCACATGGCATGTAATTAATGTAGTATCGGGATCACTCCCAATTTTTGCAATCCTCTCTTTTATTTGAATACACTTACGATTTTAGTTTTGTCTTGACAGTAAAAAGACTTTTAACTCATGCTTTCAGCTCCACATAGCTCCAGGACCAATGTGGTACTCCTTTTAAGATTTTTTGACTTAGAATTTAAAACCTGGCAACAACAGAATATACTGCTGCATGAGGTAGTGAGGTCCCTATTTATCAGATTTTCAAGCAGAGCTGAACAACTACCTGTTAGGCACAGTGTACAAAAAGATAGATAAATCCGATAACCTCCTACTTTGTGATTATGTCCTTTAAAAACCACTGATTAACACTAGCCTTACACAGCTCCTTTGATTATGACCCATGAAGAACATGGCATTCCAAACCCTGCAAAAGTAGTTTAGTAACTTTGTTCTGGTTCTGAAAATATGCACCAGTCAAAATTACCTGGTTAGGATAAAACTTTCCTATTTTCTCTTTTATGAGGGCACAATGGTTAAGTTTTCCATGAATGCCAGCATAATTCTTTTAGACGCTTTCTTTTTTGAGAGAATCTGTGAATGGTTATATGCATGGTTTATTGGATAACTCACTAATTTTTTTTTTGGCCTCTTTAATCTACAGTAAAATACTGATTTTCTACCCCTTTCGTGTGTTTTACTTTTCCCATTTGGTAGCCTCCTTTCTTGTTTTGCTTACATACCCTGCATCTCATTTACTTGAGAGGAATTCAGCTCTCAAAGGTTACTGATTGCCAAACTTACATTCTTAGCTTGATCTTAGATTTGACCTGGATTTGGTGTTGTCTAGGTGTTTCATGGCACATCGATTACTCATGACTTCTCCCATGGGAAGTCCTAGGTATGTGAGTTTCCTGATATTTTTGGATTCTCATCATTAAGCTTGATGTAACATGTCAAAAATTATTTCTTTATATAGATAAAAGTAAATTGCTATAAAGTTTGTCAAGACAGGGTTAAGGTCTCTGAATTTGGAGAAAGTTTGTAGTTTCACATAAAAATTATTTTATTTTTCCTTTTCCCCCCCAAGATATGCTTCAGAAGCAAAAGGTAGGGAAAAGAAATGACTACAGATTTCATATCACTGGGAAGAGTAAATCGGGCCACAATGACATGCCTTTTGGGTGGGACATGACACACTTTTCGCACACCTGTGCAAACCCTTTATTAACGCAGCAATCAAAATACAGGATGAATCACATGTTTTTCTACTATAACATCAACTTAAATATTAGTCATTTGTTTCCACGTTTAAATTTGTTAAAAGTGAACATTTAAAGTTCACGAAATCATCAGTTTGACATTTATGCCCAGGTAAATATTTTTAATCTTGTTTTCCAATTTTAACAAAGGATATCCAGAACTAGAAATACAGCAAAGCAAACATAAATACAAGTATCTTCTTTGACCCTAAATCACTGTAGGCAGCTCTATGGAGTCTGAGAGATACATTTGAAGGCTTTTGTTACTAGTTAAATAAAAATAATTTATGCCAAAATATTCTTAGAACTATTTGTTTTCTATTTTTACCTTCTCTAAAAGCTTCAACTTTGATTGCAGTATGCTAAATATTAGTCTCCTTAAAATCGTATCTCTGTAGAATTTCAAAGGTTATTACCAGCCTCATATGATATTTTCTTGTATAACACTCAGTCTTCTGGAAAACATAATAAGCAATTGTTTTATTTTACTTTCCTGCCCATCACTGATTTATTTAATCCAAACCTGATTAATTACTGTACAAATCCTAAGAAAGTCATCAGGAAAATGAACTTTGTTATCTACTGAAGAATTTTTAAATGAATAGATGAGTGTAAAAATGACTAATATCTTGAAGATACCAGGTGCTCAAAATATGTGTGGGAATACACAATGAGATTTGGTAGGTATTTAAAGAGTACAATAGATTAGTTTAAAAAGTGAGATTAGAAAAAGAACAATAATCTTAAGGGACTGCCAAAGGATATGTGAAGATAGGTCCAAGAGAGTAGTTGAACTGTGCTGAGTATAAAATAAGAGTATCTGAAAGATAAGTTAAACGCTCCATTTTCTTACCAATGAAACACTCAGAGGAAATCCCCCATTCACAGAACCATAGAGGCTGCCACTTCAGAGGTTCAGCAGTGATACAACACTGTATTTCCATTTGCGGACAGGTGTCGCATTTGCCTTTGTAAAACGGTTCCTCCGTGGTTGAGACTGGTGTTTCTATAGTTAGCTTGATTTGTGTTGGCTGCACTACATTGAAAGTGTAGCTGTACAAAACATGCAAATTATTCATTGTGCCTCACATTTTCTTCAAGAGCTAAAGAAGTGAGATTTTAGATCACTAATAAATAACAATCCAAGCATTAAGTTTAAAACAGGTTATCAGTCCATTCAATAATTTACAGAGCCATAGTTCAGTTCAGTCTTTCCACCAAGTTGTTTTCTTACCTAACACTTGCTCTTTAAAGGGAGGGTTAAATAACACAGACAATCAAAAATGAGGAAAACAATAACAAAGAAAAAGGAAAGGGATTCCAGAATCCATTATGTGGGATGGCAGGCATCTTAGCCTTAGTTTTGGAAAAAAGAATGCTCCTAAGCATTTGAGACAAATCATTCTTGATGTAAGAACATGACACAGTAATACCGGGGATGGGTGAGAACATTCACATATCTTTAGAGTGATTTCTATACATTAGGTAGCACATTTAATTCCTAGAGATTTTAGTCAAGTATTAGTATTTCTTTTTACCAAATATGATATACAAAAAGATGAGAGAAGTAGATGTGCCCTAAAAATATGAAAATATAATATATTAAACAAAACCACTATAAATTACATCGATTTTCAGTATAAAATTGTTTTTTCCATTTAGAATAAATACCATCCAAGTTTGCAGATCATATCTAAGTGAATTAAATATGCATGTGTATCTGAATCATTTTCCGAATTTCTAGAAAAAAAGTTGCTAGAGATTATAACCAGATAACTCAGAAACCAGAACTTGTTTGATTTTGACAATGACTACATATGACCCAAAGAACGTGGCTTGGGATTTACTGTTTAGCTTTTAAATCTGCCCAAATGAGTCTGGCATGTGCATTGTGCACACGCACACACACAGAGCCATAAGTCTATAAACTCTATGAAGCTGTACAGTTTACTATCTTTAAAAATCAGCTGAAAGTCACAAGGCCTTCTCCATCTCATATTCTAGCAGGAGAACCTTTCTTATTTTGTAAAGAAGCTGTAGGGTGGAGAGGAAGAGTACAGAATTTCTGGAAGCAGAAACCTCCATTGTAAGCCAGTCTTCCTTTAGGTTGGCTGTTATTATATCAAGAGCTTTTTAATACTTTAAAGAGGGGGAAGTTTTGAAAATCTATATACTCTCCCCAGTCTAAAGAAGCTTTGGTCACACATTTCTGCTCCTAATTCATAAGAAATTTGCCCATTATAAACTTTTTATTCCAAATAAATGTCTAGATGAAATAATGCCTTCTCCTGTAATTTTCATGTGGAAATGTGCACAAGGATTTGGGTGGAATGAAAACGGAATACATTGAGAAAAAGTTCACACAGTACCACAAAATGAGCTTCAATCATTTTAGTATTGATTGAGTGTACCAATCCATGGTAGGAATTTGTTGACTTCTGTAACATGTGGAAATGTTTATATTCTAAGAGTTGGAGATAAAAATTTTCTGCAACCCAAATACATAGAATCCTAGTCAAGAAAACCTAATCAGGAATCATTGTATTTCTTAATCACTCACTACTAATTTCTATATGTGACCACCCAAGATTCCAACAGTTCATTCCTGACTAAGAGATGTCTAATCAGACTCCATGTCTTGTCAAATTGCCTTCCACATCAGTTATCTGTGAACAAAAATAGCCCTGTCAAGGCCATTCCTAAAGCCAAACCCTGTGCCCTCAGCTACAGAACTAGATATATTTGCTGTAAAGTTTGGACAGCAAAAGCATCCAACCTCATGTACCCACTTTTGCTCCAAATATTGCTTATTTTTTGCAATGGGGGCCACCATGAGAGACCACAAACTTCCCATAAAACTATAAATATCTGAGCTAGAAGGGATCTTGTGATCCATTGGGTACAGTACAACCCCTGTATTTTGCAGGTGAAAAAGATTAAACCCCAGAATAAGAAAGGGAACTGTTCCAGGTCACTTACCCAGATAGTGAGAGAATGAGGACTAAACATCTGCATCTGCTTTCTCACTACCAACGTGGTTTGTGTAATCTCCAGTGTCATGACCCCATCACTCGATGTGGCCATGACCCTTATAACTACTTTAAGGTTAGTGTCTCCCTGTGCCTGAGAGAAAATGAAATAATGCCACTCATTCTCATCAGGATTAAATCTAAAATGTAGAAGTGGTCTAAATGATTAATTTAGGGCGGGGGCAGAGATCCACAACTTGCTTAAAATGCTATGATTTTTGAAAATCATTGCATTTATTTGAGTAATGCAGCATAAACAATGCTAGGTGAACCCAGAGATGTAAGTACAAATCGTTAAAGTGACTGTGGAAAAGAACAAGGATGAAAACATCGGTTTGGTTCTGTGAGAGAATGAGGCCATTGAAGTGGTGCTTAGACCTCATCCAGTCTGCCCCACCTGGCAGATAAGAAAACTGAAACCCAGATTGCCCAAAGCCAGGCAGCTGGATATCAGCACAGTCAGGTAAAGTATTGGCCTTTGCACAACTAGTTTTGTCTTTTGTCTATAACATCATTCTGCCTTGCATATAACTACTTTCTTGTGAGACTAAATAATTCAATAATTTTGGCATGAAATTTGATGGTACAGTTTCCTGTGCTATTACCATAATATATATATCCTTCTCTGCAAGCTCCTGCAAGCCAATATTCTGTAAAATACAGGAATTCATCAAATGCCGTGAGTACTATGGATATATTCAACCGTTTATAACCTCCCCCACCCATACATCAGTTGAGCTCACCAAAAGGTTCTCCGATCAAACAGGTAAACACAATTTTATTTGGCTATTAAAGTGCTATTCCTGGGCAAAGTTTTTCTCAGTTTCACAAAAGCAGCTTCATTGGAAACAAATAAAAATCAAGGTATGAAAAGAAGCCTAGGAAGTAACAAGAAAACGGAGCCTAGTAACTACTTTGGAACATTACAAATGACTTGTAAGATATCAGCCCTGGTACTGGTGACTGATACCAAAGCCTCTGAGGTAAATGTTCTAGGGGAAAATAAGGACAAAGAGGACTAAACCGGAAAGAGCAATTAGTATTAATATAACAACAATTACTCCATTATAAAGGAACAGTGAAAGGAATAAAAACTGAGAAGAAAGTGCAACAAACCCATATACGTGCATTTGCTATTGTAGCAGACCTATAATTTTTTTAAAAGAAAAGCAATGCAGTGTGCATTGAACAGGGCTCTTGAACTCAGAATTTATCTTACAGTAGTGTACTCTTTGCCAAAAGGGCATCACCAATTAAGGTACTTGGCAGAGAATAGTCTCTAAAATTCTTATCACTTGGACAGACCTTCTGTCCAACATTATCAGTTCTGCACCCTGATGTTTCCCGCATCCTTTTCTACTGGGGAAGGTCCAGTCACGTGAACCGCACACAGGTGTTTCCCCTTTTAAAATGGCATCACTCCTACCTAAGGGATGAGAGTCTCCTGGTAAGGCTTAGCGGCAAGTGCGTACTACATCTGGACTACGAGGAGCAGCCCCTGATTTTCTTGATATGCATAGCTTTTCGGAGTTGGTATTAGACATGGCTTTCATAAATAATGCAGGTGTTTCTGTCGTGCGCCACTGCCGGCTCTGTAGTTTCCAGGTGAGCTGGCAGCAGGACTCTATCTAGCGATGCCTCCACAGGCGTGGGCTCTTCAGACGTTAGCTCCGTGGATGTTACATCTGTGGAAGGCTCTGCAGTTTCTGGGGAATGTTCGGCTGATGGTTCTGTCTCCTCTTCATCTTTGACTTCAAACTGCACCCCTTCTTGGTCGTCCACGTGATCTTTTCTGGACTGTGGATGAACCGACACCTTGATGGCAATCTGCTGAGGCTGTTCATGCAGCGATGAGGCGTCTGAGTCGGCGGTGGGAGAGTCGCTTCGCTTCAGAGAGTTCGGAATCATGTACACCTCATCCCTGTCGGTGGCCTCCTGGCCTTCTGGGGTGTGCCGCACAAAATTCTGCCCCTGCTCCTCCAGCCCGACCACCTCCATGATCTCCTCCATGATGGTCCTGCAGTTCATGATGAGAGGAGGCAGAGGCACGCTCCTGGCAAGCTCTTCGATATAGCGGGCAAACTCCATGGTTTTGAACTGGGTCACTTTGGCAAGCTCTAGGGTTTTGGCTGAGGTGATGATGGGGATCCGCTTGGCAATCTCAAATGCCTTTTGCAGCTTCTCTGCACCTTCTGTCCTAAAGAACTCGTTGATGGCTTTCTCAGTCTTCTTCAGGTGGCTGCTCATCATACACAGGCGGGTGATGTTGAGGACCATGACGATGGTGAAGGCCACGAGGCAGACGACCATGTAGTAGACACCCATGTCCCCAGAGGTGAAGATGACGCGCAGGGTCACCGTGTTGTTCACAGTGCCATAGATGTTAGAAGCAACACATGTGTATTTACCTCGGTCTGAAAAAGACACCTTGGTGATGTTCAGGAGGCCACTCTCAAGCATCTGCCATTTTCCTGTTGGAAGGGAGAGAAGAACATTCAAAAAAGGAAATGCAATGCCCGCTGAGATGACTACAGGCTCGCACATTACTAAAAACCATCTACAATTAACAGTAACAACAGTGAACATTCACTAGGTGCACAACATTCACAACTCTGTGGGATAGGTAGGTTCTCATGCTAGCCCCATTTATAGGATGAGAAAACTGAGGCACGATTAGATTAAACTTTCCCAATGTCAGCAGTTTGGAAGCAGTAGAGCTAGAAGATGAACTCAAAGTTCAAGAGGCTGTACTCTTAACCACCGGACCATACTGTGTAATTTCACATCCTAGTGTCAAGTAAGAAAACTAAACAATCTAGAAAATACTTTACTCTTACTAGAGAATTCCTTAACTCTAGCAACTGATTTTCTCATCTGCCTGTGAGCATGACTCTATTGAATATATGTTCACTGGGGAGTTTAATGCTTCTTAAAATATAAAGTAGTTTAGGACCAACATAAAACATGGAGTAAATCAATTACATTTTAATTGTTTACCTCGGTTCCTTATATTTGATATTCAAGGTCTCCTTGTATGACCTCAGTTAATTAAAACATAATTATGTCATTAACTTTGAGAATCTACAATGAATTGTCTATACTAAAGTAACAAGCAACAATGTAAAGATTCAGAGGCTGTGTATGAATTAGCACCAAGTTGTTTTAGCCTTGCTAATCAAGTATAGAACCATCAATTTGAAAATAAGCCTCACACGAGAGAGAATGCATGTTGATAACAGCAATTCCTCCTCCCCCCTCTGGCCTGGAAAGGACCTAGTGTTGCCCTGGGAATGGGGTTCTGGGTTGGGCAAAACTCTTTAGTTGGGGTTCTTGGTCTGTCTGTATACCCGCAGGTCAGGGGAGCCCTGGACAGCAGAGCAGCAATACTGCCTTGTGGATCTTGGGTCTGAGGCTTTCTGTGATCCTACCACCCCTCTCCCTACACTGTCCTATGGAGAATGGAGGGTCCAGGTCAGGCCTCTTGGGAGTCCTAAGGAACAGGGCAGGCAGATGTTTCTCCATAAAAGCACTCCACGGCCCTGAGCCTACTAGAGGGACATCTTCAGAGAGACAGGACAATTTAACATGTAGTTTCCTTTTAAGTATCTATTATTACACTGTATTTTCACTTGTTTCTCCTCTCCTGGCAGTGCCTTTTAATTCTAATTATAAGTCTTTTATTTCCCCAAAGCAGTAAGCAAAATGTTCCTTTTTTAAACTTGTGAGCACACACGTCACCAAAGGCTCAAGGGGCCGAGAACTGAGGCAGCAGAGGGCCCTCTTTATGCCAGCGCTGCCCTGCTGCAGCAGGGCGACTGCCAGGCTGCTCTCCCTCCTGGGGCCAGCCGTCCCCGGGGCTTGCGAGCTGTGGGGAGCCTGGCAGGACGCCACCGCTGGATGCTGTCACCTTCCTTCGCTTTCTGAAAGAACATCTGTGAAGAGTGGTTCGTGGTGTCCCCGAGTAGCCCCTTTCTAACAATTCACCCAGTGTATTTCCCCAGAAGTATAAAACACTGGTTTGAAAAATCGAGTGAATTTTCAGTCTCTGTGAATGTGCATGAATAAACAAACCTAGCACCCGGTCTGTGAAATTTTCTCTCATTCAGATGGGGCAAGAGCAAGCCTTCCACCCCTTTCATTCCCTGAACCTGAATTTTGATATATTTGTTACAGATTTACCCAAATATATAATAATATGAGGCAAGGGAAATTATAAATTTATTTTCTTAACATTGGCATCTTTCATAAAAGTAGACTACAGCAGATATGGGGGGGAAAAAAACTAGTTGATTGAAAGTTTATTATAGATCTGGGAGGTACTGGGTTCCAGAGATTTACAGGCTATACTCATAATACTTTCTCACATTTACCTTCCTCCATTTGTAAGAAAGCATAACAGGAAATAGGGTAAAAGAGGGTGAGAAGGTGAGGTTATTTGTCCAGGGAATGATTAGGATCAATTTATTCATCTCCTAACCTCCCCATTCCCATTCCTTTTAGGGAGGGATTAATCTGTAAATTCAAAGACAGAGGAACTGGAACCTGGGTGCAGAAGAACAGAAGCAGAAAAGAACACTAAACCAGAAAGGCAGGCATCTATCTGCCTTTCTAGAGAATTTTCTGATGGTAATATAAACAGCTTTCTCCTCACACCTACATCATAATTTTAGTGATATTTGTATTCTGTTATAGACAAAGGAACTGCAACAATACATATTAGTTACCACATACCAGTGCCGCCTTCTATTTAAAAATGTTACTCAACTTAAATTTTATAATTATTTTCAGGCATATTTGTCATTGTGTACTGACATGTATTTATCTATCCTGGACTTGAGCGATTCAATACAGATTAAAATTTAGACATTCCAGGAAGTTTCTTATCACATTGTGAGAAGAGGCATAGTTTGGAGTCAAACACAACTTTATGAGGTGACACCTATAGCTCGTTTGGGGGAAAACAGATTTTCAAGATTATTACTCAGGAATACGTATGCTTCTTCCTTAGCCCAGGACAGTGGGTCCTTAGACTAATATCTTTCATATACTTCATTCAATCATTAGTTTGTTCTTGAATTCTGAAGTCCAGCTATGTATCTGTGACTATATTTGCTTAACTATAAACTATGATAAAAATGAATCTATGTTATGATCCGAAAACACTTGGGCTATTACCTATAATCTGAGTTGCAACACCCTAGTTAAGTGGCTGGGACCACATCTCTCTCTATTAGCAACTTCCTGTTTCCAATCTAAGATGAGGACACCAAGGCATCTCTTTAGGTTTTGGTTCTTTACTAGATTCCTCTTGAAACAACCATCAAATTTATTTTATGGATTAAGGTAATGTTAATGACATTTAGGCTTCCTCTCAGGTAGGATAAGGTGAAAGAATTCGTGGCCTGGATTAAACATTCTATTATCAGATCACAAAGCAAGTCTTTGGAAGCCAACACACACCTACACCCTAAGGACTATAATGTCAGAAGAGCTAAAATTTTGACCTCAAAGATGATGTACATCTGTATGGCTTCTTCTTTAAAGGCTGATACAGCCATTCCTTCCTAGGAAATAAGACTGTAACTAATGCCTCTCAGCCTCAGCTTGATCTTTGACTAGTGAAGATTTCTCCATTTTCTGCTCTCACACGAACCCCTAAAAACTATGAAGATGGCACAAATTCCACTTTGGGGGTCCTCCCACACCAGCTTCGAGCCCAGGCTCATGCGGAAACTCCACAGGGCGCCCGCCCAGACGAGATCATCTCAAGAACGTTTTCTGTGCTGCATGTAACCATTTACCTCAGTCTATAAATATCATGTCCCAAAACTCATTCTGGAACAGTTCCAACTTCAGCTTTCAGAAAGTTAAACAAATAAAAACACCTCCAGTGTTGTACACACGAGTCAGGCATATCCAGTGCTATTCCCATGTATTTTAAATTGTAATTGAGTAGGAATATCAAAGTTATATGTTGAATTTTTTATTCAGTTGCATCACTTCAGCACCAGCAAGAACCTAAACGGTTAGCAGCTGATCCTAAAAGTCAGTTCAACGTGCAATGATTTTGGAGGAAATAAGAGAGGCAGCTGTTTAATCATTATTTCCTGAATATAATACAAGAGATTACATGTAAAATAGCTCCCAAATGTTCTTGGCGGTAGTCCCCTCCCGTCCTGTGCCTTGCTCAGACTGCAGTCCCCCCATTGGGAACACCCTTCCTCCACTCCTCCCATTCTGGTCCGGGAAGGCGGCACACGCCTGAGGGATTCGGGCTACAACACTGTCACGCGCCGCAGGATCCCTGCTGGAGACCAGTGCTTGCCCAGGAATCCGTCCCAGTCTTCCCCGAGAAACTCCAGGCCCAAGAATCACACGTGAAGATCGCCCACATGTGAATCGTAGTGTGGGGGTGACAGCGTCTCCTTTGCAAAGAGAAAAGCTGACGTGTTATTTCTTAGCTGTACTGCAGTGTGTGCTGTGCTGCGCAACAAAGCTGACATTTTTAGAAGGGCAGTAATCTTTTTTTATCTTGTTCATGCCTTCAGTCAACAATTATTGAGTAAACTGTCTATATAGCAGGTTCCACGCCAGACTGTGCAAATACAAAGACGGTGCCTGACTGCGAAAACCACCCAGGCCAAAAGAGGGGACAGACTCCAACAAATAACTGGGGGGTCACTGGTGCAGGGCAGTGGGGTGATGAAGGGAACATGAGGACAGGCTTCCTAGAGAGACATGAGGTGCTCGCCAGGGTCAGGACAGGGCGGAGTGGTGCAGGCAGGCAGGAATACGAGGGTAAAGAGAAAGGACTTTTAAGACCAGAGGGGGATGGTTGGTGGAAAAGGGTAGCATTGAGCCAAAGAGGGGACCTGGTGTACACTCCTGTAGCTGACAAACCATGTTTAAAATCAAGGAGGGCCAGGGTAGAAACAAGGCTTGAGAGGGGTACAAGGCCAGAGCTTAATATATTTATGCTGTCAGAGAAAAGGAGCCCCTCATTTTATGGCACTTTCCCCTGATTTCTTACCTTCAGGGGCCTCAGCACCTTCCCACATGCTCCCTCTCTGCCTGCAATGCTCTCCTCCTTCCCCACTCCAAGCCCCTCCCCGCCCGACACACACACATTCTTAGCCCAGTTGAGACACCACCTTGGCATCTTCCCTCATTCGCCAAGAAAGCTTTCTCTGATCCCTGATCAATCAGTGCTGAGAAAACCTTAGAGTCCAGAAGCAGATGCTGAGAAGTGTGGGAAATTTAAAAAATAAGGAAGATATCATTTCAAATCAGCGAGGAAAAAAATATTGGGATAATTGACTACTCGTTTGAAAGAAAAGTAAATTCCTCATTTATGTGATATGTAAAAATAAATTCAAAGTACTCTGAAGATTTAAGTGTAAAATTAAAAGTATAAAATTAACAGAATATATCAAAACATTTTTATAACCTTGGAATAGGAATGCTTTTTTAA